TCTCTGGGACCTCTGCGTCCAGTGTCCCAGCAACAACCAGCACCACAGGTTATGCCATCAATACCTCAACAGCCACAGCATCAGCAACAGCAGCTGCCACAACATCAGCAACAGCCACTGTCACAGCATCAGCAGCAAATGCCACAGCATCAACAACAAACAGCAGCAGCAGTTCCATTACCTTTGTCTCCTAACATGTACAATGGTCCTATTTCAACTAGTGTTACTGTGTATGGTGGAGGAGGTTCAGGTGGGCTGGTTCGTGCCTCAGGGCCTTTATTAGTAAGTGGTCCATCTCCTGGTCACTCGAGTGTTTTTGTGACAAGTAGTGGTGGATGTAATGGCCCAACAAATATGGTAGTAGTTTCATCTCCTTTCAGTAATAAAGGAAATGGAGCAACAGGAGTTGCTGTCACATCAGGTGTGGCAGGTGTTGTGGGGGTGCAAGCTGCCATGCCTCAAGTACAGGTTCAACAACAAATGGCTCCTATGCAGCAGCATTTACAATCTCAGTTACAACCACAGCTGCAACCTCAGTTACAGCAGCAACTTCAGTCTCAGTTACAACCTCACTTACAGCCACAGCTACAGCAATTTCAGTCTGTACAACCTGTGGTGCAGCTAGTCAACACTTTTGCTACTATGCAAGCTCCGGTTATTATCCAGAATGGTGGTAATATTATCCAGTCATCTACAGGTCTTCTGCCTAGCCCAAGTGGTATGCTGGCTGGGCCTACGCCTCTAACACAAGGTACTATTATGGCTGGTCAGTCTCTTGTTCCTGCAACTGCTGCTACACTGACAGTGGAGGGCACCCATCACCATCACCACCATCACCACCACCATCATCACCAGCAGCAGCAGCAACAGCAGCAGCAGCAGCAGCAGCAGCAACAACAACAACAACAACAACAACAACAAAGTCAGGTTGGACAACCTCAATCCTCTCCACATGTACAAGTGGCACAGGTGGTCACTACTGGGCTTTCTGGAGAAGCAATAGAAGATGCCCGAACAAGAAACACTTCGACTCCACTTGGCACTTCGAGTTCAACTCCATCAACCCCACATTCAACACCAGGTTCCACTCCTGGATCAGACACTCCCTCGAGTGGTGGTTCCTCAGGAGGGCGCCGTCGCAAGCGAAGACGCAATACTTCAACGCCACAAGGATCAACTACCTCACAGTCTTCACCGCAGCAGCAGCATCAACAAGGATTGGTACCAACAATTATTATGGGCAACAAAGTTCCTCAGCATATGGTAATGAATGGCCCACACATGACTCAAGTGTCACCATATGGTACAATGGGTACTATGGCTGCTGCTGGACAGATGGCACAAGTAGCCACTGTCACAAGTCAGGTGGGAGGTGGGCAGATGCTGCAGGCAGCAACTGCTCCAGGCACAGGTGCCATTAATGTTGTTCAGATGGTTGGGAACACATTACCTAACTTACCTGTACAAGTACACAATCCACCTGCTATAGTTGTTGGGTCTGCACCTGCTCAGGGTGTAGTCATCAATCAACTTGCAGATGGTACTTTTATTTCTACGGATCCTAACACTGGTATGTCATATCCTGTTCAGTTACAGTTATCTGGTGGCCATATAGTTGGTGTATCACCTGCTGTTAGTGCTGCTGGTGGAATGGTGGGCTCACTGGCTCCAGGACCAACAGCAGGGGGCATGCCAGCTATGGTTGCTGTGCGTCCTTCTGTACCTCAGACTACGGCTGTTGTCAATGGAGCCAAAGTAGTGAACATTTCTCCTTCACCAGCAACAACGCAGCTGACAGGCAATGCAGGTGTTCATGTTCTACCTGTTACTGCAGCTACAGCAAATTACCCAGCTCCTGGAACTAGCATTAGTCCTGGCCAAGCAGTGTGTATGGGTCAAGGAACAGCACCATCTGTAGTAGTGACTTCAGAGTATGTGAATGGTCAGCCTGTGGTGATAAGTGGAAGTGGCTGCAGTAGTAATACTACAGTAGTCCAGCATAAGACTACAATAGTACAGCAACGTACTACACTTGTTGCTACTCAAAGTGGTGATGAGAGTGGTACACATTCCTCTGTATCGACACAAACACCGGGTGGCTTAGGAGAAAGTGATGTTAGCAGTTCAGACTGTGTGAGTACAGCAGCAGGAGTACCATCTTCCCCATCTCATCAGAGTGCAGAGGTCACCACGACACGTCACGATGAGGATGCTACTCCCCCTACTGACCCTCCGCCTTCACTTCCACCACACTCCCCGGACAAGAATAAGCGTATCATCCCAGAGGAGCCACACAGTGCATCCACTTCAGGTAATATTAGTGCCAAAATGCTTCTGATTTGTCTGACGTAGTGCCAGTGATGAGCCAGAGCCAGTGTGGGGCCAGTGCCACTTATCGCGGTGCCGCTGTGTTCCAGAGGAGGCGGTGACGTGCGGCCGCGGAGTGGTGTGGGGGCCGCATAGGGGCCACCACTACTGGCCGGCTCAGGTGCTTAACCAGGTAACTACACCACATAGATCAAACTCACACCAAATTTTTCTTCACAATCTTGTTCCACCTACTGAGTATACAATTTTTCAGCACTTTATGTATCACAGCCAATTTAACACTACCTAACATTATCTTCCGTACCTATTTTATGAAAGTGTGTCTTTCCCTTCTTTTCACTGTTGAAGTACATCCTAATGGACTTACTTGCCTAAAGGTTAAATATACTTCTGTGTAACATTCGACCATCAGGCATTCAGGTATGGGGTTTTCAGTTTTCACTGTTTTAATATTGCATGTTAAGCATTCTTGACATGGACTCTTACAGTACAGCCTCTCCTCACTTAATGATGGAGTTCCGTTCCTGAGACCACATGGTTAAATGAATTCGTCACTAAGTGAGGAGCATACTCTAATGGTAGTGGGTTTGTGTCAACCAACTTTGATATTTATTTATTTATTTATTATTAATTTGGACATGATACATAGATGTACAAAGAAATACAGTGGTTAAGTGTAACATGCCAAAAGCCCCTTGTATGCAGAGCATTATGGGCAGGCTTAAAATTAACTTAAGATTAACTAAGCAATGATATATTCAGTGGTAAAAATTATAGTAAACAAATAACAATTAAGCACAAATGAGTATTTCAAAGATAGGTCATATGGTCATTTACTGTGTTGCTGTGCTCTTTTAATGTCACCTTTGCACCATTTATAACATTTCTGGTATATTTTTAAATGTTTATACAGTAGTGTACTGTATATTGAAATAAACAGAATAGAGGAAATCAGCTTTAATATACATTAATTAGGCATAAATACTGGTCTGAGAGCCCGTCGTAAGCCCAAGGCGTCAGTAAACGAGTACGTCACTAAGTGAGGAGTGGCTGTATTTGCAAAAAAAAAAAAAAAAAACAGAATAGTTGTCTGATATTTGTTATCACAACTTTAATTATTTATTTAATAAAAGTATTTTTACTATTGGGGAATTGAGTGTGGCATTGCAAGCTTTTCTTTTTAATTTTATATATGCCATATGACGAATATCATTTTTGTTTGAAGCACATTTGTGTACCCAGCCCACTGAAGCAATTTTTTTTTTACTCTTATGAATAATCAGTAAATAGCACAAATTCAAATGTTATACTCTGCAAGTGTTATTATTTATATTATTTTCACAAGAAAGTGCTAAACCTGAATGGGTCATGCTCTGCAATTATCATTGGATGTGCATATATTACCCAAACCTCTCTGGAGGGACAACTGTATATGTATGAACAGGAATGGGCATTTGTGTACTAAGGAGACATTTCTAATATATTATAGATGACTGTACCATAAATCAGTGCATGATACCAATGACAATAGTGATACTATACATTAAATAATCAATAGTTGTGTTTGATTACTAAGTTAGCAGGGTTGACTAGAGAAGCAGAGTGAATGACTAACTTTAGAATATTATATGGTACAGGTCGGTCATCACTAATCCGATTCCATCAGTAATCCGGCACTAATTTCAGCTAGCATAATTTCAAATTTCCAGGGTCGGTGCACCAACCTGCCACTACTCTTTGGTGGTGCTACATGCTGCATAAGCCATTCCAGTTTGTTTTTCTCCATTTGTTGTTATAACCTGCTCACTTTTAGCCCTAGCCATGGGTCCAATGAATAAAGGAAATGCTTCTCGATGTGCAAAACACAAACACCGTACATTATCCATAAAAGATAGGGTGGCTTTGAAGCCACTGTCGGTCCCATAGTATGACGCCATGAGCTCAGCACACTCAGATAAGCTGTGGCCAGTAAATTTGGGCCTGCATATGAAAGAATAGGTCTGTGAGGTAAGTGTGTACTATATAAAAACCTGCAGCATGCAGTGCATGAGAAAAAACTGCGACCTCGTTTTGAGTGTAAAACAACTTTGCGGTGTATTTTCATATGATTTTTATGGTTATATTCTCGTTTTTTGGCTTCATTTGATAGAATGGAAGATATATTACAGAAATAGAGATGATTTTGATTGATTTCAAGACGGAAAGTACCTTCAAATTTTGCTCAAATTAGTGGAAATGTTTGATTTTTGCTAATGTTCAGGAGTAAACAGATGACATCACTGTCCAGTATGTGTTCAATTGGCAGGTCTGATACACAGTCATGAATGGGTTGACGTTACTTATACAGTTATTACAATAATGCACTAGTCTGCATAACAGTAAATCTTCTATTTTTTGTGTGAATAAAAAATTCAAAATGGAAAGCAGGTGGTCCTGGAGACATGACTAATGAACAGAGAAAATGTTATTTTAGTGCCAGAAATGTCTGCATTGTTTATTCTGGACCCTGTTTTGAAATTGGCATTTCATGAAATTTGTGTGAAATTTGCCAAATTACTGATTTATGATCACTTTATTGGGTAGTTGAAATAGGTAAATGGGCAGTTTCTTGTACTCAGTCAACAGAATAGAAGGAATACTAGCAAAATAGCCGAGTTTGGTTGATTGGAACAGTGGAATGGGCTAAAAATAGTGTGTAAAATGGGTGAAACCGCCGATGCATAAATATTGCCATTGGGTTAAGTGTATTCTAACCACTTTGTAATCTGGCCAAATCACTAATCTGGCACCATACAGGTCCTGATGATGTTGGATTAGTGATAGTCAACCTGTATTATGTTTGAGATGCAAGTTTTGTGCAGCAGTACCAAAAATGATTTGCACACAACTGTAATAATAGGTCATTAAATTTTGTGTGAAACTTTTAGTCTTTGAGAAGTTTCTGCATACCATAGTTCATTATTAGAACAGTATCTTTTGTGTTATTTTTAATCACTTAATTAAAATATGTACTACCTTTTCTACCAGTCATGTTTACTCAAGAATAAATCTTACATGCAGGTTAATTTTAGCATTCTCTTTCACTGAAGTACCATTTCACATTTGAAAATGTGTTTGTTTTTTAATTGATACACAATAACAGGAACACTGTGTATGTTCACAGTACAATGTTTATGTAAATTTCAGAGATAATTTTTCTTGTCTCTGCCTTGCATTGCTTCTTCAATCTTGATAAAATGCCTGCATTTGTTACAAGAAATTAGTACACCAATACACCTAATATGAAACTGTTTATTCACACTTATCTTCTTTCAACAAACCAGCCATATTCCACTGAAGCAGGGTGGCCTAAAAGAGATAAACAAAAGTTTCTCTTTTTAACTTTAGTAAAGTATACAGGAAAAAGGGTTACTAGCCCTTTGCTCCCGGCATTTTAGTCGCCTTTTATGTACACGAGTTTATGAACATGTGATCAGATATGATAGTCATATAATGGGTGTGTTGGCGTTGCCTTTAATCTGGCACACACTGTATCAGTTTATCAGTGAACCTGAAATTATTGGTAGTCTAATGTTTTTGCAGATTTATTATCCTTAGGAGTCCCTGATACAGGATCTGATGAAGGTCATCAAATAGCAACACTGAACATTGTGCAGAATTCACAGAAATCCAGATGACTGCCACAAAGATGGGTATATACATGTCTGTCTTTATGGCCATCTCTTCGCTTCTAATGTGAATTTTTTCAGATGGTCCAAATATTTTCCCATCCAAGGATTTAATTTTTAACCATTACAAATTCATCAGGATTTTTAAGTTGCAATCAGAAAAATAAAACTGTTGTATTTGCAGTGCATATGCATTCAAACTGGATAATTTACATATTAAAAAATGTTGCAAATTTTTCAAAATTGTTAATGAATTTGTAATTTGTTTTCAAAACAAATAGAGATCATATAAAATTATAAAAATTAATTGACTGTAAAACTAGTTGAAATAGAAATACACTAGGTCTCTCAGTTTTGAATAATGCATTTTTGAAACTTGTTTGCAAGTCAGTTATTTAAAACTCAAACCAGTTTTCCCATAGACATTTATGTTATACTGTAATTGGGGGCTCTGGTGGCCTGGTGGTTAACGCTCTCGCTTCACATGGTGAGGGCCTGGGTTCGATTCCCAGCCAGAGTAGAAACATTGGACGTGTTTCTTTCAACCTGTTGTCTATGTTCCCCATCAGTAAAATGGGTACCTGGGTGTTAGTCGACTGGTGTGGGTTGCATCCTGGGACACTGACCTAAGGAGGCCTGGTCACAGACCGGGCCGCGGGGGCGTTGACCCCCGGAACTCTCTCCAGGTAAACTCCAGGTATGATCCTGAGCCATAATATTCAGTGTCTAATATAATTTTATTTTTATTAAGAATATTTACACTATTTTACATTCAGTACTGTTCCTGTTTGATGCAAATATAAATAAGTTTTTTTTCAACAAACCAGCCGTATCCCACCGAGCCACGGTGGCCCAAAAGGAAAAACAAAAGCTTTGTTTAAATAAAAAATTTTAACATTGGCTGTCTCCCACCAAGAGAGAAGGGGTTACTAGCCCCTTGCTCCCAGCGTTTTAGTCACCTCTTATCTGTCCACCTCCAGGAGAAAGCAGAGAAAAATTTTTTTCTCTGTAATCATGCATATTTTAAGAGGCGACTAAAATGCTGGTAGCAAGGGACTAGTATCCCCTACTTTTATGTGAATTACTGAATGTAATAAAAAGAAAAGCTTTACCTGCCTCGGTGGGAGACGGCCGGTGTTAAAAAATTTGATTTAAACATAGCTTGCTAATATTTGTATGAAACATGAACAATACTGAATGTAAAATATTGTGTAAACATTCTTAATAAAAGTTAAATTAATTTACACACTGAATATTATGGCTTGATAACACATTCACACAGTCAGAGTTTTGTTTTCCCATCATGCATTGTGTGAGGAAGGATTTTTTTTTTTATACTGTACACACACTGCACACAGACCCATGCTCTTATAATCTAGGGCATAATTTACCACTCACAGCTTATCTGAGTGACCTGATGGCCACTGAAAGGGTTAAAACTGGCATTTACATTTTTTTCTTGCTGACACTTCATATATTATAGTCTTTTGTTATTGTAATACAG